TAATTGAAGTCGGCTTTCTGCCGCGGCGCCGTTTTAAAGCGCCCTTCTGTTGCTGCGCTGTTGTTGCGGCGGTGATGACGTATGGTGATGACGCACGGTGATGACATCGCGGCTTTAGCACCACGATTTTATCACCACGATTTTGACGAGCGCGGTTTTGTCGTGCCATGCAGAGAAAAGTCTTTAAATTGCAATTTCAGTGTGCGGGTTTTTTTTAGTAACTTTGTGATAAATACTTCTATCATGACATAATCATTCAAGAACTAGAGTTCGTATATTTTCTAATATACTTCATCCATTAAAATGTGCAACATGCTAGCTCTATAAGGTAAATTTAATGTATGTTTTACCATAAAATTCTTAATTAATGTAATTGGAACAGGGTAATATGAATATTTCTGGAAATTATAACTGCATTACAATTTCACTGTATTGTGAAAATTGGAGGGTAATGGTTAACTTTGGAAACTGACACAAGCAGTCTATCTATATACTACTAAAACTCTCGTTGTCATGACCCTAACTGGGAGAAATAGTGCACCATAGGGCAACAGTTTTTGAATCAAGGTACCTCATAGAATATGTTCAAAATCCAGGACCCATAATTCCAAGGGAATAAACGATGGGGAAGTTGTGGGTGATTCAGTGCTACTAGCTGCTAGGCTACTGCTGCGATCATGTGGTTTTTATTTTCAACATTCCATGACAGTTTCCAAGCCATTCACGCAATCCCTTGTTCCTTCTCCAATCCTGCAGCAGCTTCCCCAATTCAGCATACTTACCTGGTGCTGGAAAGGGGAGGAAAGGAGATTTCTGATGCTCCCTGCCAGATTCCCACAAGAAAACTCACTGGGGAAGCCAGCAGGAAGTCGGAAGTCACTCCTGCTCCCCCTGCTTTTTTTGATCACTCATGTTCATTCTGTTTCCCTGTTTAGGTACGGAAATACCTCTGAAACATATCAACAGGGTGCGGATGGTCTAGTTATTTTTAAAACGGCAGCCTTTACCATTTAATTTTACAATTTAATTTGATTCTCTGAAGTGGCGAGCGGTGAGTTCACTCTTTTCCTGCTACCCCTTCCTCTGCAGAACAAAGAACACAAGTCTCTCAGTGAGCAGCTCTCCACGGCAGCCTCTGCTCATTACATAGAGATTGAAAAGCTGAAGAAGGAATTTGAACGCCATCAGCAGAAGAAGGGAGACAGGAACCAGCTTGTGAGCTTGCAGGAAGAAATCGATTCTCTCCGGTTGGCCCTGGAGAAGGCTCACGGGGAGCGGAAGATTGTCGAAGACACGTATGCCAAAGAGAAGCAGGTGCTCCAAAAGGTAAATCCTCTGCAAGGAGTTGCAAGCCTTCTGTATCACAATGACTGTGGGCATAAAAGGGACAAGCCATGGTTTATTTAACCATGATTTACTGGGGGAGGGGGGAAATCAACATTCACTTGGATGCCATACAAGCTAAGTCATAAATGGGGGTTTAAACTATTGCGTTTAACTTTGAATAGCTTAAGAATGGAATTTCTTGGTGGTCTCCCATCCTGGCGCCTAACAACTTTGATGTTGTTTCAAGCACCGGATCTCATGTTGTTTTTGAGATCAGCCAATATCATCAAGGTGGTGCCATCTAGCTGTGCACTGGCATTAAAAAAAGCTGCTCTCCTTTTGTTGTTTCCCGGGGAGTTTTCTTTCGCCTTTCCCTTCTGTTTTTTTAGCACATTGAGTAATTCATTACAAAGCAGCTTGAAGCTCTTTCATTCTGAAAGTTTCTTCCCACTGCTTCCTCCCTTCCATTTTCTTGCTTTTAACGTCATGTGTAATTACTGATAAAATGCCTTGGCAGAGTTCCCATGCTGAGAAAAGTGAGGGAAAATGTATGAACCTACATTAAAAACTAGACAACTGTACAGATGCCATAAATTGCTACTTTTACAACAACAGCAAAACTTTACGATACGGAGGCACAAAAGCCTTCTTTTGATAATTGCTCAAAATCCTCAGATAATCTGAGTAGCAGTTTCCCCAAATTAAACTTATTCTTCAGTGGGCTGCAGTTTTTGTTATGCACAATAAAATTTGGAGTGTCAGCCTGTGGTCCTGTGCATCCCCATGTAACGGAATAATATCGCTTGCACTAAAATGAATTGTCCAAAGCAATTTAGGGCAGTCAAATTGTAGTGGGCCACTTAGAGGTCCTTGGTGCTCTCCTGAGAGACCGCCTCCTGCCGATTACCTCCCATAGACCGATTAGATCTCACAGGTTAGGTCTCCTCCGGATTCCATCTGCCAGCCAATGTCGGCTGGCGACTCCCCGGGAGAGAGCCTTCTCTGTTGCAGCTCCAGCCCTTTGGAACGACCTCCCCGCAGAGATCCAGACCCTTACTACCCTCCCAGCCTTCCGCAAAGCCACCAAGTCCTGGCAGGCCGGGGGGCTTGTGAAACATCCAGCCCCACGGAAACTGTGAATGTTGCGTATTTTAAAGTGTTGTTTTTGTTTATTTATCCCCTTCCCTTGTTTATAGCAATAGCAATAGCAGTTAGACTTATATACCGCTTCATAGGGCTTTCAGCCCTCTCTAAGCGGTTTACAGAGTCAGCATATCGCCCCCACAGTCTGGGTCCTCATTTCACCCACCTCGGAAGGATGGAAGGCTGAGTCAACCTTGAGCCGGTGAGATTAGAACCGCTGAACTGCAGATAACAGTTAGCTGAAGTGGCCTGCAGTACTGCACCCTAACCACTGCACCACCTCGGCTCTTTATTTTAAGCCGCCCGGAGTCCTTCGGGAGTGGGCGGCATATAAGACCAATAAACTCAAACTCAAACTCTCTGAGCTTAGTTGTTTTCTTGCAGACGTTTCGTTACCCTAACTAGGTAACATCATCAGTGCTAGTCCTGATGAGGTTACCTAATTTGGTAATGAAACGTCTGCAAGAAAACAACCAAGCTCAGAGAGTTCCAGGCTGTATAAACAGAGGGATAGAATCAAGATCTCGTGAAGTGCTAATGCCACTTTATAATGCCTTGGTAAGACTCACTCTGAGTTTGGGAATTTAGTCTTAAAATTTTCAAGATTCTGTATTTACCCCCAGACCAGCATTAACAATATCCTAAAATCTGTGTCTATGGAGATTCTCAGTCATCCAGGTCATGGTTGTCCCAAAGGTGTTTTCTTTTTTTCAAAAGGCAACTGGACTTTCTGATTTTTCCTTGAAGGCATTTCGCTTCTCATCCAAGAAGCTTCTTCAGCTCTGTTTCGGAGTTGAATTTCTGGGAATTTCAGAGCCGAAGAAACGTTTTGGATGAGAAGCGAAACATCTTCAAGGAAAAACCAGAAAGTCCAGTTGCCTCTTGAAAAAGCACCTTTGGGATAAACCAGCGCCATTATATTTTCTGGTTGGTGGAGAGACTTGAAATAAATGTGATGGAAAGATAACCCTCAAAGATGATAAATGTTTCATGCTGTACGAGACTTGTTTTGCATTGAGGATGGTTCACTTCGTAGAGAAAGTAGGGCTGATTCTCAGAAAGTTTGTAATCCTAAGCAGCAATTATTCCTGAGAAGGAAAAAGAATAGGGAGGATATTTGAAGAAAGAAGATTTGAAGGTATGCAGGCTTTTGAGTTGCACAGAAGTCTTCATTAAATGTGCCTGCATGTGACATGCGTTGCTATTTCTAAACAACCGCAATGTTTAGGATGCCGTTTTGTTTGATGTATGCTTCATTATGCTTTTCACGTCCTTTTAAAAATTAATTATATTTCTTTTACTAACTTTCATTTTTTTCCCCTGCCTGACTGCCCATTTTGAGTGAAAATGAGAGATGAATAGCTCATCTGGTAAACTATAATGAATTCATTCTTGTAGCTGATGGGGTGTATTAATAGTTTATCAATGTAACAATTTTAAATCTTTCTGCCATGAGTAAATCTTCCCCCTCATTGACTCATATGCCAAGGAAATCTTGAAATATGTGGTTACAGTTTTGTCGTATGAACAAAGTAAAAGTGCATTATATTGTATATAAGGAAAAAAAGATTTTTAAAGAAAACTTTTAAACCTTATGACACAGAATGTTGCTCTAAAGTTGCCATCATGTTGTTCTAGAATTACAGGTTGGTTGATCTTTATGAAAATCGATCCACAACTATTGACCTTTTCATTAATAGCTGTGGATAGGTTTTACCAAAGATCAGCTAATCTATCACATGTAACTCTAGGACAATAAACTATCCAACTAGCTAATCTATCTCCTGTCCTAATTCTAGGACAATAGCAATAGCATATATTGCTTATATACCGCTTCTTAGGGCTTTCAGCCCTCTCTAAGCGGTTTACAGAGTCAGCATATCGCCCCCACAGTCTGGGTCCTCATTTCACCCACCT